ATAAAATGATGAGATAATTTCAGGATAAGATTGTTGGTAAGCAGAAAGTATAAAAAAACGTCTGATGAAGATGAACAAGATGAGAGAGAGACAGAGGAAAAATAGAAAAGAATCTGAAAAAGAAGCTAAAGAAGCAAAAAATTCTTGTTCAGATGATGATGATGATACTCCTTGGATGGCCATTAGAAGACATGAGAGTATCATGAGAATTTCAAACTGAAAATAAACAACATGATGAAGATGAAGATGATGAAGATGAAGCTACCTTTAATTCACTTTAAATCTGATTATCAAGCAAACCATTGAAATAACGTTTTCTTAACCAATCTATAAAAACTCATCTTCAATTTCATCTTCTTCATCCTCATCCTCTTCTCCTCCCTTTTCCTTTTCATCTTTCTCATTCCCAATTCACCTTTTTTTTTCATTTTCTGTTGCAAACCAAAAAACTGCAAATTTGTTCAATATCATAGAAGGAGAAATAAGTTCTGAAAATTTCTCATGGGATTTTATCAGATAAAAAGTTCCAAGAATCAAGTGAAACGATTTGAAGAAAAAAAAATCACTAAACTAAGGTGAACACTTGATAATATTGTTTATAAATGAATTTTGATATAAATAAAACCAAAAACAACGACATGATGATGATGATGATGAGAAGAAGAAGACAGCAACATAATGCCAATGTTATTTATCTCATGTAATATTAGACTACAAAACGATTCATAGGAACTGAAATCAGATGAAGATGAAAAACTCACTGGGAGTGAAAATTGATAAACTTTACACTCTATGGGTTTTATCTTGAATATTTTGGGAAATAAGTTTTGACCGAAAATCTCAGAGATAAAAATAATGAGGACTTTGCGTCTCCATGTCATCAAAGTCCATGAAGATACAATGATAACCAAAACATGATCCCGAGGATCAGGATGAAAACCAAAACAGAGAAGAAAAAAATATCATCAACTGAATAGACAAAAATAAGTTGAGAGCACGTTTGAAATGGCAATTGGATGAGACGGAATAAAGGAGAAACCTTTTGATTACAATATTGAATCAAATGATGACAAGAGAGAGAGAGAGAGAGAGAGAAAAGATAAACAAATTTTAATCAACATGGATTCATCCACTTTTCCTCTTTTCATGGTTGTGTGTTCACCGTTATTCAAGGGATTTCAGAATTTCTGAATAACATGTACTAGTAGCATATATACTAGAATATCCATGAATATAATAAGGCAAATACTAATAAATTTATATATGAAAAAGAGTCAAAAGTTTTGCGAAGTGAACATGGAAACAAAAAATTCATCCACCAACATGAAATATTATTCAGAGACAGCGGAGATAAAAAATACAATTGGTTAAGGTTATTTATTGTCTATGTAATTCCCATGCTATTTGATGATTATCTTTTGCATGATAATGAGCTCAATGATTGGATTCAATTTGATTTACCTTCTTCATCATTATTACTTCATTAATCTTTTTCTTTGTCTTTTCTTTTATCTCTCTCTCTCTCTCTCTCTCTCTCTTTCATTTTCTTCATTATCAAACTTGAAAAGTAAAAGATAATCTTTCTAATTTCAATGATAATTACATATCCGGTTGTTTAGTCATCGTCATCCTTTATCATCCTCATCTTCTTGGTTACATCTTTGTTGTGTTGTTTTTTTTGCTTCATTCATTGTTATCCAATATATAATATTAGGTGTCTTCTCATTTTACTTGATGCATGATTATTATTATCATTTTCTGTCTCATCAATAATACAAAATATTGATATGAGTAATGTTAATAATAATCATTCATGATCATCATGATGATTAAATTGTTTTCCCCATTTATATAGTTTATTATCAATGATCAGTGAATCGAAGCGTAAAGATGAAAGTGATAGTGATTATATAATTGATTCATCTCATTTATCAATTTACCTGAGATAATAAATTACAATTTTAAAAGGTAACAGTTAAGTTTAGGTTATTGTTTGAATGACGATGAGAGCTGGATGATGATGAAGATGATGATTTGAAAGAGTATTTGAAATTGCTAGCTATGGATAGATGATAAAAATGATATTTATATCAATAGAATTGGAATCGATTGAAACTTTTATTGGAATTGAATTCTCGACATGTTACTTTTGATCCAATTGTTTGATTAGTTTTCTTTCTTGTAAGTAAACACTTAAGGCTTGATTTGAGAAGAGGAAAAAAAATGGGATAAAGATAATGAAAAATTATCCGACTGGGAGGATGATGAAGATGCTACGAAAATAAATGAGCTTAACTACAAAGAGATACCTTTAAGGTGAGAATGATGATTGAAAATTCATTTTCCAATGAACTCACAAATTTAGGTCAATATGAATACTATATTTACAAAGTATTTTTCTCAAATTTCTTCACCATTATTTCAATATCTTGTAGGAAAAAGTGGGTGGGAAAGATGATAATGATGATGGAGAAGATGAAAAAAGATGAAAAAAGGTGAAAAAGTAAGTGTAAGAGAGAGAGAAAGAGAGAGAGAAAGGATGAGAAGAAGAAAGAAAAAATATGTTCTCATTATTCAAACCAATTTAGGTTCAAAATGGTTGAAGGAAGATGAACATGATGATAATGATGAACAGAATGAGATGAGAATGAAAACAGTGGAGCTTGAAAGAGTAAGAATGCATTTTCAGAATTCATCTCACACAGAATGAGATAAAAAAAAAGTTCTGAAATTCTGATGATGATGATGAGAACTTGAAGAACTTGAAGAGACTCAGAACTTTTTTCCTTCTTCTCTACTGATCACAGGGAGGGAGAGAAGAAAAAAATACCATGAGTGAGAGAGAGAGAGAGAGAGAGACTCAGACAACAGAAGATAATATTCTTGATGTTAATGTTGTTCTTAATCATCATAATCATCATCATGAAATAAAGATGATATTAATTTTTCTGTTTTTGTACAAAAAAAAATTTTCTTCTCCTACCAAGTGAGTATATGTAACGAGTATATTGATTAATTGTAACGGTTTTCCAAGTGAATCAGAAATGATTATCAGAAAACAATTACCCAACATAAATATTTACTATTGACTTTTTTCATGCTCTCAAAAATATCCACAAGGAATCAGATATTGATTGTAAAATCACTAATCTTTCAATTCAGTTGTAAAATCGTTGACAATTTCTTACAGAATAATCTGAAAATCCTCTTCACAAAATCCCACCAGCATCTCGACATCTCTTTCAATCTAACCAGTCTTCTTATCATCCTCATCATCATCTCTCTCCATCTCCACTTGAAAAACTATAACCTTTGACTTACATTATCATTTCTCCACCGTCATTATATTAATTGGCTCTCTCACCAACAATAATAGCAACTTGAAATTTAGATGAAGAAAAAAACAAAATTTGAATGAAAGTGATTAACTAATCGCTTATTTTTTTTATTTTACCATTGAAAATATACTCATCTCGCTAAATTATCATCATAATAATCATCCTATTAACATCAAAATCCAATCCAATTAATTCAAAGTTATCTCTTTGTTATCATCATCAGTATCTCCCTCTCTCACTCTCTCTCATCATCATCATCAAGCATTGTTTATCCTTCCCAATGTCTGAATGCTAAGTAACCTTGGTAACTTTTTGAGGTTGAGGTTATCATGATAATGATAATATTTTTTTCTTTGTGATCAATTTGTTAATCCAGTGATTGGTTTGACATTTTATCCATTAATTTGATTGAAGAAACAATTTTTTTTAACTTGTTTCTCTAATTTTCTCACCATTTTTCCCTCTAATTATCGGTTCATTATAACATAAAACTGTTGATTAATTAGCTCGAGTTTTTTAATAATCATAATAATCATAATCATAGAGGATAAAATTATTATTATAAGTTAATAATAAGTTTACCTCCCAGTTTCCCATGTTACAATTTTCTTGGTGTATTACCTTTGAGTATTTGTTGTTTACATTTTTCATACCTAATAACTTCCCACTCCCTTTGCTTACATACACGCTGACTTATCATCATCATCATCATCATCATCTTTCATCATCTTTCATTATAATTATCATTATTAATCATGCTAATCACTTTGACACATAATCAGTGAGTGTTAAAGTTTGATGACTCATTCAATTGTTTCTCTCTCTCTCTCTTTCTCACTCTTTGCATATTTAATTATATTCAATGCACTCTCTTCATTGGATTAAATAATTTAATCATCAAAAAATTGTCACATGAACAAAAAATGTGAACTGAATTAAAAGTTAAGGTTAATTATTAATTATTATTTGAAATTCAACTAGAAACAAGTTTACCAATTGTAAAAATTTAAAATACTCACACTCGAGTGTGTAAATTATTATTATTATTATTATATTGAATTAGCTTAATTGTTGGCTTGATTTTTTGCTAATCCGCTTTTCACTTTTTCATCAGATTTTGATTATCTGATTAATCTTGTGGTGTTTATATCACTTTGAAAGTTGATTTCTTTGTTTAATCTTGATCATTATTATCCTTAATTGTTATCAATGATACTTATCTCATCATCTGGTTAATCAATCATTCCGCTTCTCATACAGATTTGATTAGGATTGTTTTGTGTTAAGGGTTAAAATCAGACGTAATTGTATTGGGAGATTAAAAGTAAATTGATTTGAAATTAGTTGAAAGTTTTATCTTAATCTGATCACAATCGATTTAGTTTAATCACAATTTGTGAAAATATTGATTCCTTTTTCCTTTTCTCTATCAATTGATTTTCTTTTCTCAAATAAATAGATTTCTCTATTGATTGTAATCTCTTAGTTTGTTATCAATGGGATAGAAAATTGATTTACTCTCTTTCTCTTTCTCTCTCTCATTGATCATCAATGATTTTTAAAACGTGTTCCAAACTGAGATGATTAAAGATGATGATGATTATCAACTTGTCATTTATTTTCGAGTCAATTTCTGTCTCGATTAACCTTTAGTACTCTTACCTTTTCGAGCATCCAATGTATATATTGGTGCTAAGGCATCATCTTTATACCACAAGATGAGTGCTACTGAATCATCGGGTGTCGATGTCGTCACATGACACGGTAAAGCGGCCTTACCACGGACAACGGCAGTGTAGCTAAGTGATGCTGTTGAGACACAAGAATAGAAATTGGAAAAAAATATTTCTCGATTTTTGTTGCGATCTAACTTTTAATTGTTTCCTCCAGTAATTAGTTAACTAATTTAGGCTTTTACTTACCGAAAGGTTGATCTGTAAATGGTGTTACTTCATAGGCACAGGTAACTGTTGCTGTTAAACAAATAATTGCACTAATCCAATATCCTATTGAGTAATTAAACATTTTGTAACAATCAATATGATGGTTACAATTAGTTTTAACTAACATTGTCTTCAATTGATTAAAATTTGTTTTGTAATCGCTTTTTTTTTGACTGTTTTTTGAGAAACTTTTTGTTGAAATTTGATTTTTTTTTGTTGTTGTTAAATTGTTTTTCTATCTTGTTTTTTTTTATACTCTTGATTAAGTTTTGTTAATCAACTTTTTTTTTCTTATCATCAAAGTTTAACTTTAATTAATAATCAATGTTGATGAGCATTTGGCAACAAAGAGCAAGAAAAACACCACATTAAGACACACAGTTAAAATTGGATAATAAAGTTTTGTCAATAATTTATATGAATTAACTGTTTTCACCATGACAAGAACAACTTTCCATTTAGAACTGTTCAAACTGTACTTCGAGTGTGAAGAAAAAAAATCGAACTCACTGCTTCACCGATTCACTTTTAGATGGCGCTAACAGTCAATTCTTTTTTTCCTTCGAAATGTTAACGTCGCCATCTAGTGGTTAGAATTTCAACTAAAATGTTGGTCTTTTTTTGAAAAAGTTTCGAAAACCAAAAAATGACAAATGAACATGTAATTATTATTTCTTTTTAAATTGTTATTATCTTTCTGGAATAGATTTAAATGAATAATTAAACTTGGGACTAAATGGTGAAACTAGTTAGTGTATTGTGATCTAATTTTTTTTCTTACCAAATAGGAAAAGGAGATAAAATCATTAATCTTATGCCGAAAACGATTTGAAATAAAATTCAGATGAGGAAAAGAAAATGAATTGATAATAATAAAGAAGTTTTTTGAATTGAATTGTCAACAAAATATGATAACAGTTAATTGTTTGAATGTAATGTTTAATTTCTGTAATTGTTTGAGAGTTTAAAATGACATTAAAAGACTCATAGAAAACCATGATGATGATAAAATGAATCGGAAACAATGAGACGAGTACAATTATCTTAGCATGGAAATAAAAAAATTCCAACAGATTATTTTGACACCGAGAGTAGATTTAATTCATTCTCAACTATCAATCACTCATTTGTGAATTAATATAAAATCGTAAAGGTAAAAATTAAAAGAGAGAGAGAGAGAGAGAAAAGAACCAAAATTTCATTGAATAATCTATGAAATAAACAAACACAATTATCCTAATTACTGCGACTACTTTGAATTTCTATTGAAACCGGTAGACAAAATTGATTCCGATTCATTGAATTCAGTTAATACTTTTACATGATGTTGATTCTGAAAGATTATGATGCGAATGATTATAATGATTTAGTTGATTCTGAGCATATTCATGGTTAGCATGATGATTCAATATCGATCCACCTTCCCTCTCCCTTTTTCAGAATCATCAGTTTCATGCAATAACAATTCAGAGAGAGAGAGAGAGAGAGAGAGAGAGAGAGAGAGAGAGGCAAAAATCGATATCATGGAAATCTTTACAATTCTGTTTCCACCTCATTCTCCATCGTTAATAATAGCTCTCTCTCTCTCTCTCTTTCTATTTCTCCTTTTATATGTATGGATTTCAGTCTGAATTCAATCGTCTAATATGATAACTGAATAAAAAACAGGGAGAAATTCAAAGAATCCATTTTGTTCAGTTCTCTTCTTCACAATTTTTATCTTTTATCGTTGGAAAAATATTATTCATGTTGAATAACATTCAGAATCTGTTTTGTATCCACAATCAAAAGGGACAAATGTAATTGTGATTCTCATTATTAATTCCAGTTTATCAATCGTAATAGTAATTTCTATTACCACCTTAACCATAACAATTGTCTAATTTACGATTATCATACTAAAAGACAAATTGATTTCCTATTTATTGTTGTACAATCAATCGCATTGAATTGATAGAGAAAAAAACAAATCGAAACTGAAAAATCAATTCAATTTCTTGATGATCATCATTTCAAACAATTGAAAAAGTTTATTGGTTAAACTTTAATTTTCATTGTAAATTTTTATCTAATTGCTACTGTTGATTGATAATCTTTCATACTAAGATTTGTATTGATTTGTTGATTTCAAATTCTGTGTTTGTTTCATGTTATTAATTTAGTTTTTTTCCATTAGTGATAATTAATCATTTACATGAATTTTTATCCCAATTTAATGTCAACAGAATAGTTAACAATTAATCATCTCTGATTGTTGTAAATTTTCAGAGGTTAAACTTTAATTGATCGTGAAGGAAGAAAATGATTAAGATTAATTTAGATTTTCAATTAATCACTGGGATTCTGATTCCATTAAGTTAATTGTACAGATTATCAATTATTGTTAATATCGAAGATTACATTTTAGTGATTACAATTAAATACATTATCATTGGTCAAAGAGGTTTATTTTGATTGACCATCTCGTCGTCAAAAAATTATAATTTACAGACAATTAGTTGAAAATGAAAATGTACAAATTATGATGAGAGACATTAAATTGATACTAATTGTGAGTATGTAGATTTACAATTTATCTTAAAGGACAAAAGGATTATCAATATAATCAATAAATTGATGTTTGATTGATAAATATTGACTTTTTCCGATTTCTCCTTGTTACCCAATAATAATTAGTAAATTGAGCTTAATCACCAGGGGGTTTTATTCAGGATAAATATTCAATCTCGATTAATTCACTCATGGATTCCAAATGAGTGTCTCTTCATTTTTATTTGAAGATATTTAAATTACTATTCCTAATGAATTTGACATCCTCGAAGCATCAATAATAATATATGGAAAAAGATTGGAGCCCAAATCTCCGAACAGCTTATTCGTCGATCTCCTTCCAATTTTAAACAGAGGAAAAATTTGATTGCAAATAGAATCGCGATCTGATTGAAACTCCAAAATGCTCGGAAAAAAGCAGTTCGATATAGACAATCTAAACATTGCCTTATGAAAACGATAACACAGAAATAGGCTAGATAAGCATCGGCGAGAAATAATGGCGAGTGTACCATCCACCAGCTAATTGACATTAATCCATCCAATTTGATCGTTAAGGTGATTGTGTAAAAAAATATCGCCGTAACCATGATGATCAATTCAAAGACTGTCACACCAAACCAATTAACCAGCTCCTTTAATGTGAACATTGTGATGATTTGATTTTTAACCTTCTATTGGGTTAGTCCAAGATTTTGGTACAATATTAACAATCAAGGTCGATTTGGGGCTTAAATGGTTGATTGTTTTTCTTTTACAATTAGATTGGTGGTGTGTTAAATATACAGAAATTAGATGTTGAAATGATAGGCACAAATGTTTCACTAATCATGAAGGTAAATTCAACATGAGCAAATTGTGAGGTTAAAAACAGGTTGATGATGATTTCCGATGAGTTATAATGGTTTGAGTTAAAGAAGTAAACTAATTATTAGAATCAATTTAGGATCAAAATAGATACAAGTTTATCTTGGAAATATCATCAAGATTTACTGAGAGTAGGACATTGTTTTTTTTTCTCACAAAAGCCTCTCATTTTTTAAGAAAGTTAATCCCTTCTAATGGTCATATTGAGATGGTAAATATTAACATTAACAACAGAGAGATGAAGATAAGTCCATGTGCATTTGTAATTGTTTCCCATGTGGTGGTGGTGTTATTGTTGTTAATTGTAATTGGAAAGAATAGAAATAAAAAAACAGAGGAAAAATCAGATTAATATAAACAATAAGAGCTAGTTGGTATTGGAAATCATACCTGGTAAGCGTATTCAATTTCTTCAGGTTTTGATAAATCTCGGTTCTTTCTGATCTCGTTTCTAACTCGCTTCAAGTAAAACTTTTTATCCGATAATTCTAGATTATAACCATATCGTAAAAGTGACCTGTAAAGGTTGATAACATCCTTTGAGGTGATCACAGCCATAGGAGATGAGACACACACATACACCAAGCAGAATTTTCTAAATGAATCGGTGTGTGTGTGTGAGAGAGAGAGAGAGGAAATTGTAACTCTCTTGATATTGAGATTGTGAAGGGATAAAAAAAAAAGAGGAACAGAGAAAAACGTTTGGGTGGGAAAGGTAACCAAAAACCGAAAACCAAGTCAACACGTCAATCTGTTTAGGCACAGGAAGAAGGAAAAGGAAGTAGAGAAAAGATAACAGAATAGAAAAAATTTAGAAAAAAAATTTGATCACAACATTTAATCATCCAACTCAAAAACAAATAATTCTCATCAATGGGGAAAATTAAACAAAGACACTTGAAAATACAGAAAAAAAAAATAAAGAGATGAAGCAACAACAAACACAGAGAAAGAGGGAGAAGCAAAAATTTTAACCTAATTACCAGAATATTTGATCCATGGAAAGTTGAAAGATTTCATTGGACTTGGAAAGGTAGAAAAAAATTGAAAGATTAAAAATCAAGGTGATTAGAGGGTTAAAACAATTAACAATAGAAAACAAGAGAATTGTTTGAAAACCCAATTGTTAAGACGATTAAGAGTAAAAAAGATTAACCAGAAAAATGGAAAAAAGGCCTGACCAGAATGTTGAGTTTTCTCAACAACAGATGTCGCCACTTTTATGGAAAAGAAGTGAACATGTGGCTAAATGTCACACTTTGCAAACGAATTTCGACCAATGAGAGAAGAGACCATTATGTTCATTTGGAACATTTTTATTTTCTGTTCTCAAGTTAATGTAAGAAGATCAATTGTAAATTGTGGACAAAAATATATTCGCTATTAAATTGTATTAAAAATTAACCAATTTTGATTAAAAGTGTTAAATTAACAGTGAAACAATCGACAGACAACAGAAAAATAATAATGTCCTGTGTCGTTTTTTTTAAAATACCTATTGTAATTTAAGTAAATTTTTTTCTCTATTTAATTTATCCTCCCTCTTTTCTCATATCCATTTCTTTTTTTTCTTGGTTTAATTGGGAAAAAAAGGAAAATTTGTTTTTTTTTTCTTCTTCTCAATCCCTTTGGTCTTTGTGTAAATGGTTCGTGAGACTCGTCATCTGCAGATCGGCAATTTGCCGGAAAATATCAGCGAATCAAAAATTGTGGACCACTTTAGCAGATATGGAATAGTACAACGTGTTAAAATATTGGGTGGAAAATGTGATAATTTAAGTGCAACCGTATCTTTTATCGATATAAGAGCAGCCTCTAAAGCCCATAATTCGGAGAATAGATTGGAGGATCGAAATTTGTGGACAAAATATTATGAGCCACCTTTTTCATCATCAACCTCGTCCTCCTCAACCACAACGGCGGCAGGTTCTTCGATCTCTTGTTCAATTTCAAATGCATCAGTAACACCAACAGCAACAGCCTCTTCTCTACCATCCTCTTGTTCATCATCATCTTCTTCCTCTACCACCAATTTAAACACCACCAATATTAACACCAACACCTCCAACATCTCCA